GTTTTCTCTAACTTTGGTTAGTGGCGAACACCTTTGTTGCTTAAAACCTCGTTTGCAACCCATCTCTTAAGCCTTGCCATCCGTTTCGCAAGCCGACCGTTTTCGTTGTGGAACCTTGTTGCGTCCCTTGCTTGTTTGGTTAGTAGGTTCGTTGGTAGTTGTTTGCTCAGTTGTGCGTTTAGTCGTTCTCTCTTGTTTGCATTGGTTGTTAGCTTGTAGTTTGAATAGTTGGTTTAGTTGCTTCGCTTTTATGAAGACGCCGTCCGTCACAGTTAACCAGAGGTTAGACCAGCTTGAGGCCAGTTCTAGCCGAGGGAGAGCCGACGAAGAGTCTGATGAAGACACCGAGGAGTCGGAGAGCGAGTCCTTCTAGGGTGGAGTTGTGGCAATCCCGTTCATCCTTCTGCAGCTTGTCGTTGTCTTTCTAGTTGTTGCTACCGTTTGTTAGTTGTTTGTTGCTTGCCTTGTGTGCTTGTTCTTGCTTGTTTGTTTAGTGAGTAGTTAGCTTTGGTGGTTGGTGTTTTGAGCTAGTTGTTTAGTTCTTGGTTGTTGGTTAGAAGTTGGTGGTTGTGTTTGGTTTAGAGTTTGATATGCTCATTATCTCTGTTAGTTATTTCTTTCAATTCTTGCCCCAATATAGCTTCTTGCTTATTTTTGATATCTTTTGAATCCTTTGAGGTTTGACCAAAAAGGGGATGTTCTTGACACTCTTGTCACATTGTTGGTTCGTTTCACCGTTTGTTCTAATTCGTCGTACCCAAGCTTCGGGGACGAAACTTCTTTGAAGGGGGAGAGGATGTGACACCCCGTAATCCAAATTCGATTAAGGGATTAATTAAGTAATTAATCCTAAACCAATTGGTAATTTAATTCCTTAAATTCCTAAAAATTCAATAGTCGGGGACTAGTAATTGACTAGTCAACCCAAAGTCAAGGTTGTACCTTAAGCTTTGTGAGTAGTTCCCTTGTTCCCTTACACCTCTTCATTTTAGTAAGGGTATTCAAGACATTTCACCTTGTGTTAGTAATGTAAGCTAACCTAGTAGACACTCCTCATTCTTTCTCCTTACACTTCCCAAATTTGAGCTCTCCCTTCTCTCTAAAAGTTGGATAGCTTTTCTTCCAAGCCAAGTTGGAGCTAGAGCCGTCAAAACGGGCTTAGCCCTCCGGGCCCGCCTGCCCCGCCCCTACTTAGGTAGGGGGCGGGTTTCAAAAATAGAAGCCCGCTAAAGAGCGGGCTTTTTTGGCCCGCCCCGTTTAGGCCCGCGGGGTAGCCCGCCTGTTTTTTATTTTATTTTATTTTTATATATTATATATAATATTTACACTTTACTCCTTTAGATATTATTATAGAATAGAGTTCAGACGCCACAACCCACAAGTCCACAACAAACCCTAGTCCCACTCTCCAAGACTCCAACTTCAATTTTGTTTGATTTATTTTGCATTCTGCATTTATGTTAAATTGTGTGTTGCTGTGCGAAAGTATAATGAATTGAGTGGATTCTATCATTTCTATGTGCGAATAATGAATTGAGTGGATTATGTTAATTTTTTTTATGTTAAATTCCAGAATACCAGTTGGATAAATTTAGCAAAACAAAACAATAACCAATAAGTTAATAATTAAAAAAATGGTTTTGGGGCGGGGGCCCGCCTAGCCCGCGGGCCAAAGGCGGGGCGATCCGGGCCAGCAAAACCCAGGCCCGCTAAGGAGCGGGCTTTTTTGGCCCGCCCCGTTTAGGCCCGCGGCCCGCCCCGCCCCGCCAGCCCGTATTGACAGCACTAGTTGGAGCTTTGTCAAATCCTCAAAGGTTGTCTCCAAGATTCTACCTTTCAAACATTCGAGCATCTAGGAGGGTAAGATCTATGTTCATCTTGTGTTTTTAGTGTTTTCTAAGGTGTCTTTCTTTAAAGATAGAACCTTTATGATCTTTTGGTGTGTTCTTGAAGTGGGTTTGGAAGATGAGCCTTAGTAGGAGCTTGGTGAAGTGTTAAGTGAAGGTTTTTGTCTACAAGAGGTAACCCATGCTCTACAAAACCTATTTTGCTTACCTATATGATGATTTCTTGGATTCTACATGTGATTTTGCTATGAAATGTGAGTGTTTATGCTTTGTCTTGTGAAAATGCATATCTAGAGCTTGTTATTAGGGTTCTTGTATGCCATTGCTTGGCTATTCATTTGATTCAAGTCATTTTGTTGTATTTGGTGAGATTTGGCATGTTTTGGACTTGAATTTGAGTTTGGTGTTGAAAATCCCCGAAGGGATTATTTGGTGTACAGGTACGTACCCACGGGCGGAACAGCGGGTAGGCGTCCACTCGCCGCCCCACCCGGGGGGTACATGTGGCTTGTGGGTGTGTACCCGCGGGCGGAACCACGGGTGGGGGTCTACCCGTGGGCCCACCCGCGGGGAACATGATGAGGTTGTTGGGGGATTTGTTCCCCGTCATTCTTTTGACTCGTTATTTGGTCTTTGGACTTCCCGTTGTTCTTTTGTGCAACTATTTGAGCGTCTTCTTGATTTTTCGTATGTCTAGAACTATATGGTAGGAATCCATGTAGGTTTTGGTGTCTTGAATCGCGCTAAGTGTTCAACATTGTGATTCGTTGAACCGTGATGTGTCATGTGTGTTCTTCGGAACTACTTTCGGTTTACCCGTTTGATGAAGCATGCTAGTTCGGTGTTTAAATGCTAGTGTGTGTGTTGTTTGTACTTTCCTATTGTTGATGATAACTTGTGTTATTCATCGTTGTTGTTGGATTGTGATCCATTCCTTGATTGAGTATGGATTCATAGCTTCGTTGTGATCCGTTGATTGATTCCTGTTGAGGTGTGGTGTGTGTGGTTGTACCTAGATTGCACGATTAGTGGTATGGGACACTAGTCACCAAGGTACGGCAGTGGTCCTCGTGGTGGCCATGACGCTATTATGGAGTTTGTGACCTGTGTGTCGGGTTCACTTGTTTTGGGGAGGCGTGTGTCATTGAGGCGTGTGTCGCCGTGCGTGTGATCGGTACCCTCGTGTACTATGAAATTGGTGGAATTTCGTTGGTGGTTTGTCGGAGAGGGGACGACGGTCCTCGGAGGAATAAGGTTGGACTTGGTGTACAGGGGTCCCGGAGGTAAAGGTTGGAACTAGTCAAAAGGTGGGGGGTAGCCATAAGGTTGGAACCAGGCATAAGGAAGGCATATCAATTCGTGATGGTGATGTCACGAAGGCATGTGTTGCCATTGTTGTGTGATTCTCTATTTGTGACATGTGTTGTCACAAAGGCATGTGTTGCCATTGGTTGTGTCCTTATTCTCTTGTGTTATGCATGTCGGGTGTTAATCTACTGTGTGACGGTAGATTATACCTTGAGCCGTTCTTGTGAGTCGTTGTATCTCGTGTGGTCTTGGGATGTGTTCCCTTATCTTGTTGTGAGTGCTTAGAGTCTTGTGTTGACTTCTGCTCTTGGTTTTGAACTTATATATATATATTCCGTTTCGCAAATGGTTTTACATATGTATAGCCTATCTATGTATGATATTTCACATGTATTGGGGGGTTACCAGCATTATTCGCTAACCGGGCGTCGTCCCATCTTTTATGTGTTCTTTCAAGTGATGTGTAGACGTGAGCGCGGTCTAGAACCTGCTAGTGTAGTTCCCTTTGTTTTGTAGTTATGGCCTGTGTGCCAAGGATAGACTTTAGTACTTTGGTTATATATGGATTTTAGTGTATGAATCATGCAGATGTTGGCCTGTGCGTTCACTTCTGGGTGAGCGTGGCATAGCACCCCTTTCGTTCTAGTTTATATAATGCTTTTTCAGTCTTCCGCTGTGTTTGATCTTTTGATTAGTTATCTGCACGTTTAAGGCTTAATTTAGCATGAAAATTAGGGGGTGTTACAGTTGGTAGTAGAGCCTAGGTTTGAGCCTAGGTTGATAATGTCTAGACTTCTAAGTGGCTAAGTGTGGTTTGAGACCTTAAGGTGACCTTACGAATCTAAGTGTTAGGCTTAGAAATTTAGGACGTGGTGAGGTTGTGAGTTCTTGTGTTGTTTTCTGTTGTGTTTTATGTGCTTGTTTTCCTTTTAGCTTTGGTTCTCTTTAGTTAAGGCACCAGGTAAGGGTGTGAGCCCTAAGTTTCCTCCCGTTATCGTGCTGTTGCTGTAGAAGTCGAGGATGGCACCATCGAGACGACATGCAAGGTCTTCAGACGCAGTCACCAGTGAACAGTTAGCTCAAAGTCTCCATCAACTGACACAGATCACCCAGACGCTAAGCAACGCCCTCCTCTACAGTCACCCTCTTCAGAATGGGAATCGTAACGTAGTACGCCTAGTCGCAAGTCTTCGTCCCCCTATCTTTGCCGGTGAAAAAGATTCCACAGTGCTGGAAGAGTGGATCCGGATGTTTGACAAGATCTTCGAAGCTGTGGTATGCCCGGAGAATCGCAAGGTGGAGTTGGCTACGTTCTACCTTCGACAAGAAGCAGACTCGTGGTGGATGCTTGAAAGGCCAGCTTGTAGACAAGATCCGGAGTTCAGTTGGGAAGACCTGAAGGTTAAGTTACGCGAGCGGTTCCATCCTGCTCAAGTCAAGGAGGCCTACCTTTGTGCAACCGACCTCTACCGAGTTCAAGTAAGGGGGAGTGCACTATCTACAATCGGTGTGATATCCTTTGCTATTTTGTCTTCATTACAATCGGTGTGATATCCTTTGCCTCTACCACTCTCTTGTGTTATCGGGAGGTTGTTCATGTTCAACTCTATCCTTGGTGTGTTCATCTTCATTCCCGAGGTTCGTGTTCAATTCTGCCCTCGGTGTGTTCATTTCCAAGATCGTGTTTAGCTTCGTCCTTGGTGTCTTCGTCTTTATTCCCAAGGGTCCTTGGTGTCTTCATCTTTATTCCCAAGGATTGTGTTCAGCTCCGTTCTTGGTGCCTTTGTGTTCATTCCCAAGGAAGGTTCAGACATAGTGCAATCTTCTTTGAAGTCATCCGTCCTAGAGTGCTTATGTTGTTGCGATGGTGTTCGTGTTAGTCTTTACCCTTGGTGCCTCCATTCCCAAGGATGTTCATGACAAGCTTCGCCCCTGGTGCCTTCATTCCAAGGGTTGCATTGTCCCTCCGAAGCCATTCAGCACTGTTAACCTCTAGTTGCATTTAATTTTCATTTGTAATTTTGAGTGAGGTAGAGTGTTTGTTTTGATCCAAGCTTGGAACTTCCAGATGTTCCAGCTTGAGGGGGAGTGTTGAATATTCGGAAAGTTGCCTTAGTTTCCTATTCTTATTAGTAGTTTCCTATTCCTATTAGGACTAATTTAGTATCTAGTTGAGTATATATAGAGGTCCATAGAAGTATAGGATATACATTAAGAGAGACGATCTATTGTAATCTTTCATTATAATATATTCTTTCTATTCTCTTTGTTCTTTGGTTCTCACATATTTTGCTTCCGCCTAACTGGCGGGTGGTGGTTATTCTCCACCCGCCAGACCTATCAATCCCTCAATTTCAACAATAGCCATTTGTACTTACATTTGTATAACTCCTTGGTGAACATCTATAGTGGATTGGGAATACGTGGGTTACCCCACAGACGTAGGAGAAGCGCTCCGAACTGCGTAACAAATCTCTTATGTTCTTACTTTATTTTATGCTTTTAATTTCTGTTATTTATATTTGATTAAATGATCTAATTAATGAACGGGATTGTCGCATAACATAAAATCAAGTAGAATTATACGTTATATCTTGCATTCAAGATTCACGGTGTAATTTCAATTGGTATCAGAGCCTGCAGACCTAATTTATTAGTCTGTCGATCTTGCTATTCCATGCCTCTTGAACTCAAGCTTTCAGCGGCTTTTTTTTTTTTTTTTTTTTGTTTTTCCTTATTCTGTTAATTTGTTCAATCTCACGGGTTGTTGAGTGTTACAGAATGGATCGCGTTAAGGTTCTTCCTCAGTTAGTCGGTGACAATTACGCTTATTGGAAAGCTCGCACACGTACACATCTAAAAGCTCAAGGTGATGCAGTATGACGGTCTGTGGTGACCGGTTGGACTCATCCGACTAAAGCCAGTACCAGTGATCATGGAACGAGAGTGACTAAACCTGAAACCGAATGGTCCCAAACTGAAATTACTAATGATGGAAATACTGGTAAGGCTTTAGATACTATTTATTCTCTTATCCATGAAAGTCAATTTCCTATATTTTCAGGTTATGATTCTGCTAAAGGCGAGTGGGAAGCCCTTGAGTCAACTTACGAAGGCACAACGTCTGTAAAACAATCGAAGTTGCAACTGGTACAGTCCGATTTTGAAGAACTCCGGATGAGTGAGGATGAAACCATCACGAAATTCCACAAACGCGTTCAAGAATTGGAAAATCGTGCGATGGTTCTCGGTGAACCTTTCGCCCAAGAAAAACTTGTTAAAAAAAATCTGAGGTCGTTACCACCAAAGTTCAAAATGAAAGTCACGGCCATTCAGGAACACGGTGGCTGTGAGAAAAAAACTGTAACTCAGTTAATGGGAAATCTTAGAACCTATGAAATGGAAATTTTAACTCATCACACAAAAAAACAAAAAATGTAGCTTTTGCCGCTGAAGAAAATAATGTTGTATCTAATTCAGACGAACCAGGTGATGATACTGTTGTATTTTTTACTAAACAATTCTCTAAAATTTTGAAACAAGTTTCAAAAAATTCGAGCAACAGAAATCCACAAAGAGGAGCAACATCGTCCAAAACTAGCCCTAGGACAGGCTCGTCAAACTTCAAGCAGTCTGTCTCACGTCCAGGGCAATCCAAAGAAAAATCTAATAATAAAGGAATCAAATGCTATGAGTGCGAAGGTTTTGGACATGTACAAGCAGAGTGTCCTACCTATCTCAGACGCAAAAAATCTATGTACGCCATTACCTGGAGTGACGACGAACCTGACGCTGAAACAACTGGATCTGATAAAGAAGAAATCTCCGGTAATTTTGTTGCCTTTACTGCACGTGTTGCTGGATGTTCAGAACCTGAAAAAGGAGTTGACTCATAAGGAGGTGAATATGTCTCAACGGAAGATTTAGAATTAAATGCTTTATCTTTTGAAGTTGAGTTTAATAAGTTGTACCCTAAATGGGAAGCCCTACCAAAAGAAAATCGTAAATTGACTAGTGAGATAGGGATTGTAGCAAATACTAGTAAAGTGTATCAAACTCAAATAGCTGATAGGGATGTGCTTCTTAAAGAAGCGGCTGACCGAGAAGAGAGACTGAAACATGAGGTACAGACCCTGAAGCAGGAACTAAGCACCTACAAACGACAAATCCAAATGATGGACACCACCTCAACTGTAACACCCCGTGTTACGACCCCTAAGATCAATTAAATCATTTAATCAATTACCCAAAAGAGAGAATTAAATCACAATAATTAATTAGGAAAGGCCCACCATAGTCCACGGGCCCTTATCCCTAAACCCAATCCTTAGTCCCAAAAGAAATAGAACTAGCAAGCCCATAATATTAGTTCCTAACTAGGACTTCTAAATATATAAATAGGGGACCTAAGAGGCACCTAGAAACCCCCCACCACAGGAATAACGCCCACCACCCCAAAGAGCTCCAAGAACCCCCCTAGAAGAAATCAAGAAAGCAAGAAAGCTTAAAGAAAGACCCTTCATAGCCAAGGAATTAATTAAGGCTAAGAGGTAACCCATGTCTCAACAAAACCTATTTTCATAGCTATAATTCCCCCCGTAGGATTTCCCCATATTATTGTGTATTGATGATTTGCGATATTATTATTGATGTTTGATGGGATAATTCCATGGGTGATCTTGATATTGGGAGATTCTTGATAATTATGATGTTCTTGATGATTATGTGGAGTTCTTGATGTTTATATGTCATTCTTGATAATTGTATGGCATTCTTGATGCTTATGTGTTATTTGCACCGAATCTCGTAATTGGAGGACGAATCGTATTCTTGTGGGTATAAAAAGTGATTAGAACCCTAGGTTGTATCGTATGATATCATTCTTGGTGTATCGGGTGGGGAATCGCATGTTTGGGGTGTCGATTATGTTAGAAAAGCATGATAGGTTATGTGACGTACGTTTCTCGTATTTGATCCGTTAATTGACTACGTGTTGATCGTTAATTGCGTTGTAAAGTGTCTAAGCATGGTTTCGGGTTCCACAATGGTTCCCGGGGCGTTTTTGTGATGAAAAGAGTCAGTGGGGGGTAGGTGGGGGTAGGGGACCCGCCACTCACTGCCCGGAACAGTGCACGCCGGCGGGCAGCCGGCGGGTGGACCCCCACCCACCGGCTACCCGCTGGAAAATACCCCAACCCGGGGTTTCGGCTTCCCCGTTTGATGTTCCCCCGACCCCCGTGGTGTCCCAACGGACTCCGTCTATCGTGCCTATGTCTAGTTTGATATTTCGGATACCGTTCGTAGGTTGTATGAGTCTTATATATTGCATGCTAGTTGAATTGGTATCCCGCTGACCTAGGTGAAAGGAGTATGAACCCCTTAGGACCATTCTTAGTATGTGAAGGATCACGCATAGGTTTTTGTTATACGTTTTCTCCCCCTTCCCAATGTGTTAATGTGGGTTGCATGTGCCTGCTATGTGTTATGTGTGCATGTTACCCCGATTTGGTTGAGATCAATCGGGCTATACGGGCAGTCGGGTGGGCTGAGAACCATACCGGCTGTTAACCAGGCTGGTAGAGACCGGTCAGGTATATAAATATTATATAGGACTAAGTTCCACTATACGGGCAGTCGGATGGGCTGAGAACCATACCGGCTGTTAACCAGGCTGGTAAAGACCGGTCAGGTATATAAATATTATATAGGACAAAGGTCTACTATACGGGCAGTTGAATAGGTTGAGAACCATCCCAACTGTTAACCAGGCTGGTAAAGACCGGTCAGGTATATAAATATTATATAGAACTGCGGTTCACTAGTCGGTTGCGATCGACTCCTCCGTAATGTGAGACGGGGCAGGGTGCTGCGGGGCCGTGTCAGAGCTATATGCGCTGACCCTCATGTATGGGCATGCGATTGGTCATGTGGCGCCAACAAAGTGTGCTATGTGATGAGATATGGATGAGTTGTGTTTATGAGTATATTGGGGGATGTGACTAAGGGATTTATGCTGGGGATTGTTTATGTTGGGTTATGATTATTAATTGTGCTCAGCTTTATCTGTCTTGCCTGTTGTGGATTGTATACGCTTATTATAACTGTTGCTTGTGTCTAGCCTTATCTGTCGAGTCATTCCCGGTTTCAAAAGTTAGAGTCTCGTAGGATATATCTTCATGCTTCAAAATGGTTTTCGTATGTCTATATATATCTCTATATGTAATGTATTTCAACGCGTTGGAGTGGGTTACCAGCATCTCTCGCTGAACAGATATATTTGGCTTTTAGGCACAGAAGAATAAGTCACTGGAGCGCGCTAGAACTTGGAGCGTAGTAGTAGATAGTTTCCCTTTCGGCCTGCGTGCCATGTTATGCATTTACGTTTTGAGGATATTAGTTAGTTAGCCTGTACACCTGAGTTCTCTAGCTCAGGTGTGGCATAGCACCCCGCACTTTCGTATTATGTTTTGGGATCTAATGAGATTTCACCTTTATTTCGTAAGTTTTAAATATCTTGAAAATCTGGGGTGTTACATCAACACTTGACAAAATCCTTGATTCCGGAAGAAAAACTTTTGCAAAATTCGGTTTGGGTATCACTGGAAGTACGTCAAAGGACAAAACGGTGTTTGTCAAAGCGTCAGGACCTGATCTAGTGGATGCTTCAAAAGGTAAAACAGTTTTCGTCAAAGCATCAGGACCTGATCCAGTGGAAGTCCCGGAATCCAGCTCAGCGAGACAAAACAATGGTATAGTGCGATCAAACAAGCAATTTTATAAACTCTATAACCCTGTGTGTCATTATTGCAGGTTGTACGGTCATACCAGGCCCGAATGCTACTACTTCTACAAGGATCAAAGAATTGAGAAGTTTAGGCACAAGAACATCCGACCATCTACGAAACAGATTTGGGTTAAAAAAGACTGACTACATTTCTTTTGTCTCTTTTCACTCTAAAAGTGCAGGAAGAGAAGAGAAGTGGTCTTTTGACAGCGGGTGTTCCCGTCACATGACAGGAAATGCCAAATTTCTAAGTAATGTAAATACAAACAAAGGTGAAGTTACCTTTGGTGACGGTATTGAAGGTCAGGTCACTGGCATAGGAACACTAAATGTAGTTGGCCTGCCAAAGCTTGAAAAAGTATTGCTATTCAGTGGACTTCACGCAAATCTCATAAGTATAAGTCAGCTATGTGACAAAAACTGGAACGTGTGCTTCACCAAAAATAACTGCAGTGTCCTGGACAAAACAAATCAATGAGTTATGGAAAGTAAAAGGTCAACTGACAATTGCTATATTCTAACTAACAATATCTTCTGTTGCAGGACCAGCATAGATGAAGCTGAGCTATGCCACCAAAAACTGGAGCATCTGAGTTATAAATTACTTGACAAACTAGTGAAGATAGAAGGTGTTCGTGGTTTACCCAAGATGAAAGTCGAATCAACCATTTGTGGTGCTTGCCAAGCTGGGAAACAGACCAAATCATCTCATCCAGCTCAACATATCATACACACGATTCACTGCCTAGAACTGATTCATATGGATCTCATTGGTCCAACTCAAACATAGAGTTTTGGGGGTAAGAAATACATACTGGTATGTGTTGATGACTTTTCTCGTTTTTCGTGGGTAATCTTTCTCATGGAAAAGTCTGAAGCACTTGAAGCGTTCAAAACACTGGGACTAAAACTCCAAAAGGAAATAAATGAACACATTATTCGAATTCGAAGTGACCACGGCCGAGAATTCGACAACAAGTTGTTCGATGACTTTTGCAATCAATCAGGAATTACCCATGAGTATTCTGCTCCAAAGACACCTCAACAAAATGTAGTCGTTGAACGAAAAAACTGCACCATTAAAGAAATGGGAAGGGTACTGCTAAAAGCTAAAGGATTACCGCAAAAATTCTTGGCAGAGGCTGTAAACACTACATGTCACATCATCAACCAAGTCTATCTTCGGCCGGGCACAAATCAAACACCATATGAATTATGGAAAGGTAAGAAGCCGAACATTAAATACTTTCACATTTTTGGCTCACGATGTTTTATTTTGAAGGATAGAAATCCTGTTGCAAAATTTGAACTAAAAAGCGACGAGGGATCTTCCTCGGTTATTCAACAAACAGCAGGGCATACCGTGTATACAACAAAGTGACCAAAACCATCATGGAGTCCACCAATGTTGAAATCGATGATCAACCGAGTGAGATTGTTGAAGTTTCACAACCTGAGTCAGTGACAGAACCTGATGCAAACTGCCCTAAAACTCCTGATCCAGAAACTTCTGAACCAGATCCAGAGTCACCTACGCCATCACCCACACCAACTCAACCTGACCCAGAATCAGAATTAGAATCGAAAAATGATCAAGATGACATTGACATCCCAACTCGTATCCAGAAAGATCATCCAATACAAATTATCATTGGAGATCCTAGTTCAGGCTTGAAATCTAGAGGGAAACAGATATGCACATTTTACATTCATATTTTAGGTACATCTTTATAATATTTTTATATTAATTATTTAATATTATCTAATAATTAGTTCTTTTTATATATATAATGCTTAATATATAATATATAATACATAATATATAATATATATAATATATAATAGGCTATATAATATATAAGAATATGCACTACGTACTGTACTAGTTTATATCTATATATTGCATTATAAATATTTATATTATATTAGGAATCCTCAAATAAGTAAGTATTTGTTTTAAACATTGCTTGGACCAATTCATAGGCTCGTAGATTGAGACAAAACAAATGATTCATGTTGATCTTTTTTTTTCGTATAGAATATGTGGCACAGCAGCAAGGAAGACGGCATCATCCACGACCGAGCTCCCACGTTGCATGCTAATGGCGAAATTGTCTCCTCCTCTTCATATATAAATAGATTAGTATGTTGTTTATAAAAACGTTCATTCTTCCCTCCTCTATAGTATTCGTTGAAGTTGTTATCAATGTCCATTTGTGGCTAATTTCTAGTTGGTTTAGTGAATTGAAGCCCCGGAGTTCATAACGCTGTAAGGTTATTTATTTAACTTTATTATATATATGTTTTTATGCATTTTGAGTATTAAATATTCTTCTAAGTTATTTGAATAGTTGTATCATTTAATTGCTAGGGAGGCCTACTAGTTATTTATTTGATATAATTATTTGCTATATTAGATAATGTTGTGCTACAAATTATTCTAATATTCAGTAGCAACTGAGGTTAATTATTGACGGCTTAGTGATAATTGGTCTCGGGTAGAATATTTTCCTAAATTAAATGCAACCGCTTGTGCTTGTGTTATTTAGTTTGTCGGTTTTCCTAGTTCCTATTGCTGCTATTAAATTAAATCTATAGCGCTTGTTTTAGATTATTTAGTAGTTAGGGGTAATTAAACCGCTTGTGCTTTATTTACCTACAACTAAGGGAAAACAGAAATGAAATAATTTCACGACAAATATTCAATTGCATATTAATTACTTTATTAATCAATGATCAGTGTTGAATTCCGGTGGTGGATCTTTACTAACCAAGGTCTCCTATTATAAGCGTTTTCGATATATTATTTTCATTGCTTTATTCGTTCAATTAAATTTCTTGTTTATTTAAATTATCTTTTATTTTATCTTTATTCTCGATATATTCCAAACCCCCCTACCTTTAATTTGAGCACAAAAGTTAAACTAGTTACTCCTCGTGGGATCGATCCTTACTCCCGCTACTACGTTTGTAAGGTTTTAATTTGGAAGCCTACGACAGCTCACCAAATTTTGGCGCCGTTGCCGGGGAGATTTTCTAGCTTATTTTGTGTTTGTTTATTTGTTTAATTATTTATTTTGTTATTTGTTTATTTGTTTTTCAATTTGTCCCAAACGAAAATAAAAATAATAATTTTCTTTTCTTTCATTACTTTTACATAATTGCAAATCAAAATATATTTTCTTTTTGTTTATGCCTATAACTCGATCTACTAATCAAGAACTCTTGCCGTACGATCCAGAAATTGAAAGAACTGTACGCAGGTGGAAGAAACAAGCTTTGAGGAAATTGGAGTTTAGTGATCTGGCTACCGACCCTCAACCTTCCAACAATTCTGATTCAGAAGGGGAACCCATGGCTCAAAATCGGACTTTAAAAGAGCTTGGAGCTCCAAATTTGGATCAGCAACCTTTATGCATCACTTTTCCCGCTCTAGATGCTAATGTACAATTCGAACTGAAATCTGGACTAATTCATCTTTTGCCTTCTTTTCATGGACTTGCAGGTGAAGATCCTCACAAGCACTTAAAGGAATTCCATGTGGTGTGTTCAAGTATGAAACCCACTGGTGTTACTGAAGAACAAATCAAGTTAAGAGCCTTTCCCTTTTCTTTGAAAGATTCAGCGAAGGATTGGCTATACTATCTACCTTCTGGGAGCATCACCACATGGAACAACTTGAAGACAATGTTCTTTGAAAAATATTTCCCAGCTTCAAGGGCGGCCAACATTAGAAAGGAAATATGTGGTATACGGCAAAACAATGGAGAGTCATTGTATGAATATTGGGAGCGTTTCAAAAAGTTATGTGCAAGCTGTCCACACCATCAAATCAGTGACAATTACTCATTCAATACTTTTATGAAGGACTTTTTCCGACTGATAGGAGCATGATTGATGCCGCGAGCGGTGGTGCTTTAGTTGACAAGACACCGGACGCTGCGAGAACTCTAATTGCAAACATGGCTGCAAATTCTCAACAATTTGGCAATAGGCTTGTCCAACCATCTAAGCAAGTGAATGAGGTAAATATTTCTGCTCTTGAGCAACAAATTACTGGTTAACTACTCTTGTTCGTCAATTAGCTATCGGCAATGTGCAATCTGTAAAAGCATGTGGAATTTGCTGGGTAGTTGGGCACCAAACTGATGCCTGCCCAACTCTTCAAGAAGAACCTACTGAACAAGTTAACATGGCTGGAGGTTTTCCTGGGCAACCTCAAGGTAAGTATGATCCATTTTCTAACAAATATAATCCTGGATGGAGGGATCACCCAAACCTTAGCTATGGGAACTCATAAGGAAACCAGTTTGTTCAGAATCGTCCCAATTTTCAGCAGTATAGACAACCATTTCCTTGCAAACAACAACCAGTCCAAAGCTCTAGCTCAGGTATGAATTTAGAAGAAATTGTTAAATCCCTTGCTACTAACACTTTACAGTTTCAGCAGGAAACACAACAATTTCAACAAGAAACAAGAGCTAGTATTCAAGAAACGAAGGCTAGTATTCAGAACTTGGAAAGGCAGATGGGTCAACTAGCGACTACGGTAAGTCGGTTGGAATCACAGAGTTTTGGCAAACTACCCTCTCAAACGGTGGTTAATCCAAGAGAAAATGCAAGTGCAATTGTGTTGAGAAGTGGTAAGGAAATTGAAGGGCCTGCGGTTGCTACCCCATCAGTGAACCAAGAAAAAGAGGGAACTAACAACAATGAAAAATCTCAAGGTAAGTCTCCCAACCTTTCTGATTATGAACCAGTTCCCCCATTCCCTCAAGCTTTGTCAGAATCTATAAAAGGAACGAAAGATGAAGAGTTATATGAAACTTTCAAAAATTGTGAAGTGAATATTCCGCTACTTGATGCAATAAAACAAGTTCCTAGATATGCTAAGTTCTTAAAGGAGTTGTGTACAACAAAAAGGAAACAAAGGTCATCAAAGGGTGAGAAAGTGCTAATGGGCAAGAATGTTTCTGCTGTGATTCAAAGCAAGCTTTCTGAAAAATGCAAGGATCTAGGTATGTTTACTATTCCTTGTATGATAGGCGATACTAAACTTGAGAAAGCCATGTTAGACTTAGGAGCATCTATTAATGTTATGCCATATTCTGTGTATGCATCTTTAAAACTTGGACCTTTGAATAAAACTAGTGTAGTTATCCAATTGGCCGATAGGTCTAATGCATATCCTAGGGGTGTAATTGAAGATGTATTGTTGCAAGTTAATAATTTAATCTTCCCTACTGATTTCTATGTGCTAGATATGGAAAATAATGATCATTCTGCACCTATTCTGTTAGGAAGACCATTTTTAAAAACTGCAAAAACAAAAATTGATTTTCATAGTGGCACACTTACTATGGAATTTGATGGTAATGTTGTTACGTTCAATATTTATAATGCTATGAAATACCCTGGAGGTGATTTTGTTGCTTGTTCTGTTGATATTATTGATTCATTGGTTGAAGAAGTTTTTGAATTTAATGGTGAAGATAAATTGGAAGTTGTTATTTGTGAACACCTTGAAAATGATGAATTTGCTATGAGTGAAAATTTACGAGAAGTTATTGCATCATTGAATCATTGTCCTAAATTGCGCCAACAAAGTAATGTTTCTTATATGGCTTTACCTGCTTCTAGTGAAAATTTGTTACCATCTGTTGTGCAAGCACCGATCCCCGCATTGAAACCCCTTCCTGAACACCTTAAATATGCTTTCTTAGGAGAAAATAAAACATTGCCAGTCATAATTTCAACTAAACTGTCTGCAATAGAAGAGGAAAAACTTGTCCAAGTGCTAAAAGAACACAAAACTGCCATTGGGTGGACAATTGCAGACATCAAAGGGATAAGTCCATCCACTTGCATGCACCGAATCCTTCTAGATGAAGGAGCAGAACCATCTCGTCAACCACAAAGAAGGCTAAACCCGCCCATGATGGAAGTAGTCAAGGAAGAGGTCATTAAACTCCTTGGGGCTGGGATAATCTATCCAATTTCAGACAGCAAATGGTTTAGCCCAACTCAAGTGGTTCCTAAGAAAACAGGGATTACGGTTGTCAAAAACCAAAATGATGAACTGGTCCCCACTCGTATTCAAAATGGGTGGCGAGTTTGTATAGATTATAGGAAGTTGAATGCTGTTACAAGAAAAGATCACTTCCCCTTACCGTTTATTGACCAAATGTTAGAAAGGTTAGCTGGTCGCTCTTATTTTTGTTTCCTTGATGGTTATTCAGGTTATTTCCAGATTGCAATTGCTCCAGAAGACCAGGAAAAAACGACTTTTACATGTCCCTTTGGCACTTTTGCATATCGACGCATGCCGTTTGGCCTCTATAATGCCCCGGGTACCTTTCAAAGGTGTATGGTTAGTATATTTTCTGATTATGTAGGGCATATGATTGAAGTTTTCATGGATGATTTTACAGTTTATGGTGACTCTTTTGATACCTGCTTACATAACCTTTCGCTTATTTTGAAAAGATGTATAGAGAGTAATCTTGTGTTAAATTCTGAAAAATATCATTTTATGGTTGAACACGGTAATGTCTTAGGGCATGTTATTTCGTCTAGTGGGATTGAGGTTGATAAAGCCAAGGTTGATATTATTGAATCTCTGCCGTATCCCACTAATGTGCGGAAGTCCGCTCTTTTCTTGGACATGCAGGTTTTTATCGAAGGTTTATCAAAGACTTCTCTAAAATAGCCTTACCTTTAAGCAAACTGTTACAGAAAGAGACATCTTTTGAGTTTGACAAAGAGTGTAAAGGAGCATTTGACGAATTGAAAGAGTTGTTGACATCTGCGCCGATCATTCAGCCACCTAACTGGGACTACCCATTTGAGATTATGTGTGATTCAAGTGATCATGCAGTTGGGGCTGTGTTGGGCCAAAAGATCGGGAAATCTTCCCACGTTATTTATTATGCTTCTAGGACTTTAAATGATGCTCAGAAAAACTATTCTACTACAGAGAAAGAACTTTTAGCCATTGTTTTTGCTTTAGAAAAATTTAGGTCTTATTTGCTGGGCACAAAAGTTATAGTTTATTCTGACCATGCAGCTCTTCGCTACTTGATGCAAAAGCAGGAAGCCAAACCACGATTAATAAGATGGATACTCCTCTTAAGTGAGTTTGATGTGGAGATCAAAGATAAGAAGGGGTCAGAAAATCTTGTGGCCGATCATTTGAGTCGGTTGGTACACATTAAACCTGAACCTCCACTGCGAGAAGCATTCCCTGATGAACACCTATTGGCTGCAACTGTAGTTTTACCTTGGTATGCTAACATAGTCAACTTTTTGGTTGCTAACAAATTTCCTTTTGATTCCTCTAAGGCACAGAAAGATAAAATCAGGAGTAATGCCAAGTACTATGTATGGGATGAACCGTACCTTTGGAAACATTGTGCTGACCAAGTGGTAAGGCGGTGTGTACCTGATGATGAAATTGCTTCAATCCTTACCTTTTGTCATTCTTATGCTTGTGGAGGCCACTTTGGTGCTAAGAGAACAGCAAGGAAGGTGTTGGAGTCTGGGTTTTATTGGCCAACTTTGTTTAAAGATTCATACTCATTTTGCAAGTGTTGTGATGCTTGTCAAAAGTCAGGTAATTAATCCCGGAGAAATGAAATGCCACAAACTCCGGTCCTATTTTGTGAGGTCTTTGATGTTTGGGGCATTGATTTTATGGGCCCATTTCCTGTGTCTTTTGGTTTTGTCTATATTTTACTTGCGGTTGATTATGTTTCGAAGTGGGTGGAAGCTAAAGCCACCAGGACTAATGACTCTAAAGCTGTTGCAGATTTTATCAAAACTAACATCTTTTCCAGATTTGGCATTCCGAGGGCTATAATAAGTGATCAGGGTACTCACTTTTGTAATCGCACCATCGAAGCTTTGCTTAAAAAGTATCATGTCACCCATAAGGTGTCAACTGCCTACCACCCGCAGACTAACGGGCAAGCAGAGGTATCCAACCGAGAGGTAAAGTCAATCCTTGAGAAAACAGTCAACCCAAACAGAAAGGATTGGAGTTTGCGATTAGATGATGCATTGTGGGCGTACAGAACCGCATACAAAACACCTATTGGTATGTCCCCTTATCGCATTGTGTTTGGGAAAGCATGTCACCTCCCCGTTGAGTTGGAACACAAAGCTTATTGGGCTGTCAAGAGCTTTAACATGAACATTGATGAAAGTGGCCTACACCGGAAGTTGCAACTTTCTGAGTTGGAGGAGATTCGCAATGAAGCCTACGAGAATTCAAGAATCTACAAAGAAAAGACAAAAACATTTCATGACAAGATGCTTTTGAGAAAGGAATATTCAATTGGACAAAAGGTCCTACTCTTCCAGTCACGTCTTCGGCTATTCCCAGGTAAGTTACGTTCTCGATGGGTTGGTCCATTTATTATCACTAATATTTTTCCTCATGGTGCGATAGAGATTCAAAGTTTACAGACTTCTAAGATATTCAAGGTGAATGGCCATCGGCTTAAACCCTACCATGAAGGGGCTCAAGTTGATTATATTGCCAACATACTTCTTGAAGATCCCAGCTACTTTGAATAATATGCACAACTAGAAGGGGAGTTTGTTCTATTCTCTATTTTAATCGTTATTTAATCGTTATTTTTCATTTAATAATCCTTTTCTGCATGTTTTTATTCAACATTGGGGACAATGTTGGTAATAAGTGTGGGGGAGGAGATTTAGTTTTAGTTTTATTATTTGTTTGCTTATGTCACAATTTTTGTCAAAAATTTTCCAAAATTTTCACAAATATTTTCTTAGTATTTTATGCTAAATAAGTATTATTTTGAAAAATGATCATATTTTCCTTTCTTGGAATTCATGACATGATTTAATAAATAGTTTGGCAAGTTGTGATTAGTTTGTTAGCATTTCCTGTTCGATGTGTAGTGGCTAGATTAAGTAAGCAATAGACCTGTGAGTGTTTTGAGCCATTGACTGACACTTCAGTCTTATTTTCTTTCTATTGTGTGATTTCTTCCATAATTTTGTTTCTCTAGAACTTGCCTTGATTCTCTTTTAAAGCTAATTAGACCATGCATGATTCAAGTGTGATTAAGGCCATTATTTGATTTTGAGCCTCACTAGCCAAATAACCGGTTTGTCCTATGATTTATTTCCCTTTGTTAACCACTTTGAGCTTTATGGCCATTCCTTTCTTTATTTTGGACCACATTACAAGCCTTTTATATCTAAAATAATGCCTTCACCCAGCTGAATAACTAGTGGAGCAAATTTTGGATTATTTTTGTAACCTACGTGAGGTTGGGAAGGATAAGTGTGGGGGAGATCACTTACTCTTATTAAATTGATTGAGAGTGAGGTGAGTTGTATCTTCGTTGCCAATATGTCGTTGGTCTTCTATGAAAGAAAAGAAAAGAGGAAGCAGTTCACGATTCAAAAAAAAAAAAAAAATGCTTGAAAAAAAAAGTATGGAAAATTGAAAAAATGAAATGAAAAAAATGGAGAATATATGTTTGAAAAAGAAAAATATTGCTGAAAATTTATGAGAAAATGAGAAAGAATCAGCAATTGATTTTGAGTTGAAGTTACTTCTAAGTAAATGAAGTAAGGGGAAATTCTGGTAATACTGAGGAAGCATTCTATACTTTTGAGAATGATAGTCATATTGGAGCCTCAATAGGAAATGCTTTGAGTGAAAAATTGAGGGTGTTGAGCAAGTATCTTGGATTATTTGCTTATATTTTGCTCCTCTAGTTTGAAAGTTATATTTGAGCTACTTTCCTAAATATTCCCTACCTTAACCCTAGCCCCATTACAACCTGTGAAAAGTCCTTATGATTTGTTTCATGCATGACTCTTGTAGTGGTGATTGAGAAAATATGCAAGCCTATGGTAGATCAATTTTATAGGAATGAACATGAGTGAAATCTATACCCATCAAACACTTGAGTGATGAGTGATATTCCTGTGAGAGCTTACTTGTTTAGTTCTCTCCATTTTTGAACAGGGGTGCTAACTTATTAATTGCAGGGTGCTTCAGATTGTTGTTCATGAAGTGTTATGAATTTTTGGAATTTCATTTTAATTTACTTCGCGAATAATATTTTTGCTTGAGGACAAGCAAATGTTTTAGTGTGGGGGATTTGATATGCACATTTTACACTCATATTTTAGGTACATCTTTATAATATTTTTGTATTAATTATTTAATATTATCTAATAATTAGTTCTTTTTATATATATAATGCTTAATATATAATATATAATACATAATATATAATATATATAATATATAATAAGCTATATAATATATAAGAATATGCATTCAAAAAAAATATATATATAAGAATATGCAATACGTACTGTACTAGTTTATATCTATATATTGCATTATAAATATTTATATTATATTAGGAATCCTCAAATAAGTAAGTATTTGTTTTAAACATTGCTTGACCAATTCATAGGCTCGTAGATTGAGACAAAACAAATGATTCATGTTGATCTTTTTTTTTCGTATAGAATATGTGGCACAGCAGCAAGGAAGACGGCATCATCCACGACCGAGCTCCCACGTTGCATGCTAATGGCGAAATTGTCTCCTCCTCTTAATATATAAATAGATTAGTATGTTGTTTATAAAAATGTTCATTCTTCCCTCCTCTATAGTATTCGTTGAAGTTGTTATCAATGTCCATTTGTGGCTAATTTCTAGTTGGTTTAGTGAGTTGAAGCCCCGGAGTTCATAACGCTGTAAGGTTATTTATTTAACTTTATTATATATATGTTTTTATGCATTTTGAGTATTAAATATTCTTCTAAGTTATTTGAATAGTTGTATCATTTAATTGCTAGGGAGGCCTACTAGTTATTTATTTGATATAATTATTTGCTATATTAGATAATGTTGTGCTACAAATTATTCTAATATTCAGTAGCAACTGAGGTTAATTATTGACGGCTTAGTGATAATTGGTCTCGGGTAGAATATTTTCCTAAATTAAATGCAACCGCTTGTGCTTGTGTTATTTAGTTTGTCGGTTTTCCTAGTTCCTATTGCTGCTATTAAATTAAATCTATAGCGCTTGTCTTAGATTATTTAGTAGTTAGGGGTAATTAAACCGCTTGTGCTTTATTTACCTACAACTAAGGGAAAACAGAAATGAAATAATTTCACGACAAATATTCAATTGCATATTAATTACTTTATTAATTAATGATCAGTGTTGAATTCCGGTGGTGGATCTTTACTAACCAAGGTCTCCTATTATAAGTGTTTTCGATACATTATTTTCATTGCTTTATTCGTTCAATTAAATTTCTTGTTTATTTAAATTCTCTTTTATTTTATCTTTATTCTCGATATATTCCAAACCCCCCTACCTTTAATTTGAGCACAAAAGTTAAACTAGTTACTCCTCGTGGGATCGATCCTTACTCCCGCTACTACGTTTGTAAGGTTTTAATTTGGAAGCCTACGACAGCTCACCAGAAACCAAAACGCGACTTTCTTCAACTGGCCGGTTACGCCTGTTATACTTCACAGATCGAACCAAAGAACATCAAAGAAGCCCTGACAGATGAACATTGGATTAAGGCCATGCAAGAAGAACTGGGGTAATTCGAAAGAAACAAGGTATGGACTCTAATTCCTAAACCTAACAATGTAAATGTTGTAGGTACCAAGTGGATTTTTCGCAACAAAACTGACGCAGTCGGCAACATCGCTCGAAATAAAGCCCGTCTTGTAGCTCAAGGTTATTCCCAAATCGAGGGAATCGACTATGACGAAACGTTTGCCCCTGTCGCTCGTCTAGAATCAATCTGGCTACTTCTCGCTATTGCATGCGCTCTAAAAATTAAGCTCTTTTCAGATGGACGTTAAAATATCTTTTTTAAACGGCTATCTCATGGAAGATATATATGTAGCTCAACCAAAAGGGTTTGTAGACCCACACCATCTGGACTATGTCTACAAGCTACAAAAAGCTCTATACGGACTAAAACAGGCCCCAAGAGCCTGGTATGAAAGACTTGCACAATACCTTCTTCAGAACAATTACAAACGAGGAGGATCAGACAAAACCTTGTTCATAAAACGATCAAGTAAACACGTAACTATTGCACAAGTTTATGTTGACGACATTGTTTTTGGATCCACACAGACAGGTGAGACAAATCAACTGGTCAAAGTCATGCAATAAGAGTTTGAAAAGCATGATCGGTGAGCTGACTTATTTTCTTGGGTTGCAAGTAAATCAGTCAAAAGAAGGGATCTTTATATCACAAGAAAAATACGCGAAAAATCTCCTATCGAAATTTGGTCTTGAATCGGCCAAAGATGCCAGAACGCCTATCTCAACGACAACCAAATTATTCAAAGATGAAAAAGGAGTCTCTGTAGACTCTACCTTGTACAGGAACATGATAGGCAGTTTATTATACTTAACTACGAGTAGACCAGACATTATGGTAAGTGTCGGGATGTGTGCACGTTACCAAGCGAACCCAAAAGAGTCACACTTGAAGGCGGTAAAATGTATTATAAAATACGTTAAAGGTACAATTAATTATGGTATTTGGTATTCAGATGACACTAATATCAGTCTTACAGGGTTTAGCGATGCTGATTGGGCCGGAAACGCTGATGATAGAAAAAGCACGTCTGGCGGGTGCTTCATTATCGAAAAAAATCTAGTAGCCTGGCTCAGTAAAAAGCATAATTCAATCTCACTCAGCACTGCCGAAGCTGAGTACATAGCTGCGGGTAGTTGCTGTACACAACTACTCTGGATGCGTCAAATGTTGTTCAACTACGGTTTAGATAAAAAAAAATATGATACTCTTTTGTGACAACACCAACGCAATTAAAATCTCCAAAAACCCGGTTCAACATTCCAGAATGAAGTACATCGACATTCGTCATCACTTTATTCGTGAACTAGTCGAAAAAAAAAGAAATAATCTTAGAGTAAATTTCCACCGACAAAAATCTAGCAGACGTATTCACAAAACCATTGGACAAATCGAGATTTGAATTACTTAGAGCTGCTCTTGGAGTCTGCAATCCCACGGCTTAAGTTCTTTGACCGGACCAGGTATCACAAATAAATTTAATTCATTATTTTCATAACCGTGTTATTTTATTTTTTTTTTTTTTTGCAGAATCAAACAAAAAAAATCGTGCATGTGTTTTTCCGGCCGTATGGAATTTCAAAAACCCATCTTACCTTTATAATTTTGTTCCATCCAAACCTTCCCTTAAATATTTAATCCTTTTTAAACACCTATAACACCCCGTGTTACGACCCCTAAAACCAATTAAATCGTTTAATCAATTTCCCAAAGACAGGATTGAATTATAATAATTAATTTAGAAGAGGCCCACCATAGTCCGTGGGCCCCCACCCCTAAAACCTAACCCTAGCCCTAAAAGGAATAGAATTAGCAAGCCCATTATACTAGACCCTAATTAGGACTCCTAAGAATATAAATAGGGGATATAAGAGGCACCTAGAACCCCCACCACAATAATCTCTCACCACCCAAAGAGTTCCAAGAATTCCCTTAGAAGAAATCAAGAAAGCAAGAAAGCTTAAAGAAAGACCCTTCATAGCCAAGGAATTAATTAAGGCTAAGAAGTAACCCATGTCTCAACAAAACCTATTTTCATAGCTATGTTTCCCCTCTTAGGATTTCCCCCATATTCTTGTGCAATTGATGATTCGTTATAATGATCTTGATAATTGGCGTTATAATTCCATGGGTGATCTTGATGTTCTTGAGAGGTTCTTGATGATTAAATGGTGTTCTTGATGTTCTTGATGATTATTTGATATTCTTGATGATTATATGATGTTCTCTATGCTTATGTGCCTTTCCCACCGAATCTCGATATTAAAAGATGAATCGCGTTCTTGTTGATTTAAAAATGATTAGAACCCTAGGTTGTATTGTGGAATTCGTATGGTATTGTTCTTGATATGTTGGGTGGGAATTCGCATGTTTTGGGGATTGATTATGTTAGGAAAGCATGATAGGTTATGTGCCGTATGTTTCTTGATTTCGATCCGTTAATTGTCTACATGTTGTTGTCAGTTGCGTTTGAAAGTGTCTAAGCATGGTTTCGGGTTCCACAAAGGTTCCCGGGGCGTTTTTAGTGAAAAAGAGTCAGTGGGGGTAGGGGACCCGCCACCTACCCGCGGCCAAGGAGGGCAGCTCCAGCAGTGGGCAGCAGCCCACCGGGCACCCGCTGCCCGGAACAGTAACACCGGCAGGCAGCCGGCGGGTGAACCCCCACCCACCGGCTACCCGCTGGAAATTCGCACACTTTGGGATCCCGGCTTCCCCGTTTGATGTTCCCCCGACCCCTGTGGTGTCCTAACGGATCCCTCCCATCGTGCCTATGTCTAGTTTGATGTTCGGGTACCGTTCGTAGGTTGAATGAGTCTTATATACTGCATGCTAGTTGAATTGGTACCCCATTGGCCTAGGTATAAGAAGTATGAACCCCTTAGGGCTATTCTTAGTTGTGGGTGACCACGTATAGGTTCGTTATACGATTTCTCCCCTTTCTCAATGGTGTTAATGTGGGTTGTATGTGCTTGCTATGTGTTATGTGTGCATGTTACCCCGATGTGGTTGAGATCAATCGGGCTATACGGGCAGTCGGATGGGCTGAGAACCATACCGGCTGTTAACCAGGCTGGTAGAGACCGGTCAGGTATATAAATATTACATAGGACTGAGGTTGTAACACCCCAGATTTTCAAGACTTTTTAAGCTTATATAATAAAGGTAATATCTCATTACATCCCAAAGTATATCATAAGTGTACGGGGTGCTATGCCACACCTGGGCTAGAGAACCCAGGTGCACAGGCTGTCTAACTAATATCCACTGAAACATAATGCATAATATGGCACGCAGGTCGAAAGGGAAACTACTCTACTTCTACGCTCCAGTTCTAGCGCGCTCCAGTGCTCTAGTCCTCTGTGCCTGAAAGCCAAATATATCTGTTCAGCGAGAGATGCTGGTAACCCACTCCAACGCGTTGAAATACAATACATATAGCAATATATATAGATATACGAAAACCATTTTGAGCATGAAGATATATCCTACGAACTCTAGTTTTGAAACCGGGAATGACTCGACAGATACGGCCAGACACAAACACAGTTATAACGAGCATATGCAGTTCACACAGATAAGGCAGATAAGGCAAGGCATAAACAATGATCATAACCCAACATGAACAATCCCCAATATAAATCCCATAGTCACATCCCCAAGACACTCGTAATCACAACTCGTCCATGTCACAACACATAACACACTTTGTTGGCTCCACAGGACCAATCGCATGCCCATACATGAGGGTCAGCGCATATAGCTCTGACACGGCCCCGCAGCACCCTACCCCGTATCGCAACATGGAGGGGTCGATCGCAACCGACCGATGAACCGCAGCTCATCATAGTGTTTAATCGCAACCAAACAGTGGACCGCAGCCCAAGAGAATGTCATCTGACCGCAACCAGAAAAAAAGACGAACCGCAGCTCGTATAGAAACGTTTGATCGCAACCAAACGGTGGACCGCAGCCCAAGAGTATCAATCTGACCGCAGCCAGCTTCTGAACCGCAGCTCAGGATAACCAATCCGATCGCAACCGAATTGGGGTAACACACACATAACACATAGCAAGCACATGCAACCCACATTACACATTAGGAAGGGGGAGAAAACGTCTAACAAAACCTATGCGTGATCCATCACTTACTAAGAATAGTCCTAAGGGGTTCATACTTCTT